GATATGAGGCAGGGATTACCGAAGGTTCCGTAGCGAATACAGGGGATTATGGATGCAACTGGGTTTATGCGGATCGCAGGATCTAGCACAGGAGTTCTGTTGATGTTATAATTCGTGGGATGCGTCTCAGAACAGTGAGGTCTTGCTGGTTTGCTGTGCTGACAGGCACTCCTTCACATGAAAGCAACCATTGGTGGGTTTACACCTAGCCCTGGCAGGGCGCAAGGCCCCGGCAAGTTCCCGTCCGAAGCAAGATGTCTTTGTGCCTTGTGTTATTCAGTTTGGGGGTTTTCTCTGGAGAAAGGCGACCCGACGAGACCCTTGAGGTATGTTTGGATTCTGATAGGGTTATGAATGCCCACATTAGAGAGATCAGTCATGTGGGGGATTTTCTGACCATCTCCCATCTGCTCTGAGCACTGGCAGGAACTTTCCGTACAGCTTCGGCAGCTTTTGCCAGGCAGCTGGCGGGTTCAGGGATAAGGGTTTAATTCTAGGGGCTTATAGTCCCCCTTAAGTAGATAGAATATGGTTTTGGTATATTTGAATAAGACCCCCATATACCCCATAATCTATCTACTTGAGGGGGATTGTAGGTCTAGGGATTTCATACATATGCGTCTCAGGTTTAGGCAGGTTTAGGGGAGTTGCGGTGCACAACACAACTCTACATTGACGTTTCTTAGACTACGCCAGATAGCTAAGATCCTTAACAAGCATGTAACTCTCAAACAAAAAGTAAGAGACCTACATGGCTGAAATGATAACGCGCTGGGGTAGACTTACTAGGGGTCAGAAGGGAATATGGGAATATTCTCCGGGGATTTATTTAGAATAAGTGAGCGCATTCCCTTATTCCCTACTATTTTCAAGAAACTTATATACAATGTAGTGAGTATATTCCTGATTCCCTACCAGGTCCCAGAAAGTATACGTTCAGTAGCGAGTTAGGTGAACCAAGTCCAGTCCGAGCTTTTTTCACAGAAGCCCTAAGGGGGGCTCCCGCTCCATGTGAGATATGGTCTAAACTCCTTGAAGGGGGGGTTCTATAGGTACTATATAGGGGACTACTATAGGATTGTTAGGGGGGGATACTAGGAGTTTAGATGATGGCCCGTATATGATTCGGGTTTTAAGATTCAGGGTTTAGGGCCTCATAGTTTGTGGGGACCGTTGGGAGGCTTAGGGAGACTTGAAGGAGTCCTTATATAATGGGTCCCACTTGTATGGGCCTCCCTTAAGTGCACTCTGGGCTTGAAGCCTGCCCTTGACCCTAAACCCTAAATCCCCCAGCCCCAATCTGAAAAGCCCCTAGACCCAAAATCTCTAAGACCTGAACCCTAAGCCCTGATCTGAAAAGCCCCTAAACCTTAAACCCTAATCTGAAAAGCTTCAATATGCCAAAACCAAGTTACTCTTCAGCCACCAGAAGAAGCACCGAGGGATCTATGGGTTTGAACGCAAAAAAAAACACTTCAGGCAGTTTAGGGATTTGGGGATTTTGGGATTTGAGGTTTAGGGAGTTTAGGGATTTAGGGTTTAGGGTTCAGGGAGGTAGTCGCAGTTGCGGGATGATTCGGGCGGGGCACAACTCAGTGTTGATTGCTTCAGCTTCAGGTTCACAAGTACTGTAGGTTTTTCGCGGCTTGGCAGTAAGTACTGACTATTGAATTAGCAAGATTCTTGCCATTTTTGGACAAAGTGCTACAACAGCACCACTGCCGCCACCATCCTTCCATGAGGTTTCGCCGCCGTTCGTTGTATAGATTAGGTGAATCACCCCTTCAGTAATGGCTCCTAATAGTCTTTTTTGGTGCCCATTACTACGTGGGGGATTGAACAATTTATAGATGACACACTGTGAGGTCGCAGGTTTCCTCCACCAAAGCCTGCGATGGAAATCCTCGACAGTCCAATCTCTCAACTGCTTCCCGAAAACCGGCGACATGACCCAGTCAGCATTCCAAACGGAGAGTTGGGCTTGGTTACGCTTAGCTTTGGTGCGTTCTGACTTTTTTGATTTAAATTTGAGGAGGAAAACTCAGAGTTGGAATCCTAAGTACGTAATTGTAATATATACATATATATATGTATATATGTTGTAATGCTTCCTCATCTTGAGGTTTCCGGCTTTAGGGTCTAGGGGTTTAGGGTTTGGGGTCCTTCACTGTTTGAGGAACCTTAAACCTAGACCATTAAACTCAGGCCCCTTGTACTGTTGACAAAAAAACTGCATGACTTGTGTATACTATAGTCCCATAGTGCGCAAGGTTATGGGAAGGTTCTGAATGCTATGGCCTCGTTTTGTGTACCCCGATTATTCGGGGCCTTGTTAACCCCAACAAAGCACCAGAACCCTAAACCCTGAACCCCACAGAATTCCGGAAACCTGCCATTTTTTGGAGTCCCTGAGATCAAGGTTCTACAGTATATCGAGACTAGGTTTGGACCCCTTGTTTTTGCAAACCCCCGAATATGGGTGGGAGCTTCCGAGATGACTCCCTACGTTGGGTTTAGGGTTTATAAGGATTTAGGGTTGGCTGGGGATTCCCATAAGCCGTTTACAGTCCCCACATATCCTTAGGGTTCCGAAAGTACCCCGCTTCTGGGTTGCTGGGAAGGAACTTATTACTGTAATGAGGAAAACCCCATGTTTACTATGTACCCGTATTGTGGTAACTGGATTTAAGTTCCTGAACTGCAACCCACTTTTTGAGAAATCCCGATATGGTACTTTCCCAAAATGGGGGGGACCCCAAAATAGACACCAAAATATTATAGCCCTTATTATGGGAACCCCTAAAATGGTACCCCTAATTTTGGGGAAACCCCCATATCACCAGGCAGTCAGCTTTCAACGCTGCTTGCAGCCGAGAGCGGCGGGCGGCTGGGGTTGGCTTCGGAGGGCGGCCAAGGCCCTGGGGAAAGCCTTGGCTGGCTTTCTAGAGTGGTTTAGGTAGGGATCATAAGGGATTATATGGAGTTCATATAGGGTTTAGGCTTTACATAGTGGCTGATGAGTCTACAAGTGGCTTTGATGGGGGGTTTATCAGGATTTCAAGGGCTTGTGCAGGATTAAGCCTGTTCTTCTTCTGACAACTTGAGCACGTCTGCGGGTTCTTAAGTGTCAGTCTTTTCCAGGTTGGATGACACTCGGTACTGAGTTGATGATCACACCCATTGTTGAATGGTTCGGACAGCTAGCGACAAAGTCAAACCTTTTGTGTTTCCCGGAGCCTGTCATCGTCGCTGCCTGGTTGTAGTTTTGCCTCATTCACATGAGAACTGTGTTTACAGATATGCGGCGTGTACAGTACACTTTTGGATTGTAGCTGTTTTCTCTGGTCATTGTGACGACAATGATTTGGATTCTCTGGCTAGTTCACCAGCATCACATCATCGTTGCTTGTCATTCTCGTTACGTTGTGGTTGACGTGTAGCTTCACTGTCATGACATTGAAATTGGGGCTCCGGCCGAGGGTAACACCTTCCTGAGCCAGGAGAGAAATCAAACTCTTTGATTCCTTGTCCAATCACGGTCGACATGGCTCGCGACTGCTTCAATCCGTTAAGATTCAGGTCCCACCTTTTTCGGCTCCTGAGAGGCGGTAGGTAGATAACAGCTTCTGCAACAACACCCATCACAGAGGGGTAAGGCAGGCATGCCAAATTTCCTAATGCGGTTCTCAAGCAGAAGTTTAGCAAGCTGAACGATAGCTACTGGTCGGTCCTGTGAAAAGGAAATATTCTCATCAGGGGTTTTGTTCTGTTCCGATCCTGAAGCTTTGTACCAGACATGTTCTGTGCCACGGTTAGCCTAAGCCTTAGATGCATCCCATGATATGTAGGCCAGCATGTATGCTCCTGACACGTTGTGTTGTTGCTGGATTGCTGCGCCATTCTGGCTCGCATGCCGCGCGTAGGGCTTGGCAACCTTAGTGGATTGAGTTGCCCACTTCTTGGATTTATCAGAACCATGTAGGCCAACAGCTAGTACAGCAAGAAAAGTCTTGCAATTTTCCAAGAGCCCTAGAGATGGCGGAGCCAGACGTGCCGTCATTATTTATCAGCATGGTTTGAGTGACACACTCTAGGTGACCCTGCCCACCCACCTGCCAATGACTTTCTCCTCACTTATTACCCTAGAGCTCCAAGTCTACAAACAAAAATTGAGTTGGGCCCGAAAGTCTATAACAGGCACCCTGTGGTAGTATAGTAGTTTCCATTTTCTTTGCCATTATCCCTATGTAACCCCAACATATACCCTATTATGATCGGGTACCCATGGCTATCTTTTCGTCTCATACGTGGGGTCTTTCGCTGCAAGCATCGCTGGGATCCAAGCTGTTTGCCGTGGCCTTTGCCATCGAGAGCTCGCAGACACTTCGCTTTTGTTAAGGAATTGATGTCAAATTACTACGGTAGGGAAGCCCTATAATCTGTTTTCGTTATGTATCCACATTGGGGTAGTTGATTTGACTTGATTTCCGAAGCAGTAACCCAGGAGCTCACAAAAAGCCGGAGCTGCTTATCAAAATGCACTCTGGTATGGCGCCGTGCACCCGGACATCAGCGGCTGCTGGTCTGGGAATAAAAGCTTCGAGCGCTGCTGCGTCAACTGGAACCTGAAAGACCAGCTGCCTGGCAAAGCTTGCTGGGATGAGCAGAACCATGTTACGTCCTACCAGGCATGCTGCGTTCCGAAGAGTGATTGGGCTCCTAGGCCCTTTTCTTGCGAGGACAAAGGTATCTACTGGGAGCGGTTTCGCCAGACAGTCTCGCTTTTCCGGTCCTTCACCGAGCTGGACGAGTCGCCACTCAATGGAGCACCACCTCAGCAGTGCCTTGTAGGCGGGGTGCTTTCCAGCCTACTGGAGCTGGTGTATATCAGTTATGAGCGTACCAACATTTCTGAGCCTCAGAGGATATTCGTGTACGACAAGGTGGAACATGCAGTAAGGGTGTTGTTTGAAAGTCCTATCTCCTTAGAAGAGATATTGATGTCCGGATGGCCTTTGTTTCTGACTCTCGACTTCTTCCGGTTCGACAAGGTGTTTCAGGACATGGCTGAGAAGCGACTTCCAGGAGTGTTTGCAGGCTTGCAGACAATGAGGTATAGTAACACCTTAAGTGGTGCAATCCAGGCTGAGCAAGGTGGGCGTATAGCTCTTGACTCAGTTGTGAAGCTGGCAAACAGCATCGCCAAGGGGAAGGGTGAAGGGGCTTTGGCGCAGCTCATGCCGGCATTTACAGCACTGGTGAACTATCACAACATTCGTAAGTTTGACCTGCCCCGCAGCGATCCGCATGATGTGCCACGTCTGGGAGTTGAAGCCAAGCACCTTATCGAGTTCGCGGACACGCAGCTCAGGAATTGGATGGCGCATTTTGGTTATACCTTCTCCCTGCTGATCAAGCTGGAAATTCCTTTGGTGAATTTGCTGCAGGCATTGTCATGGCCAGGCGTCGTCATGACGCGCCCGCAAGACTATTTTAGGAACACAATACATTTCCCAGGTCTCCAGCTGACCAAGATCTTGCCACCTCAGCAGTCCTGGAGCCTTCCGTTGATAGAGCAACACATCCATCCCGGTTTTGATGCTGCCAGCAACATGGTACGAACTACCTTGCAGCCAATGTGCTACGCGCCGGGGTTCCTCTTCGTCATTCTCGCCACAGCTTCGCAGATTCGACAGGCGTGTGAGCTGCGCAAGCCTGCATGCATGCAGGCACAGAGACTGAAGGTTTGGGACGTGGGGGCCAGCTACGGTGACTGCATGCTTTGGGCAGCCACAGTTTTATTGGAAGCCCTGCTCGTCACAGAGCGATGGCAATTAGAGCTGCGGGGCTTTGAGCCCCTCCCCTCCGCGGCAGCAGCTTTCCGCCGTTCCGTGAGAGGCTTGCAAACTGCCTTAGCTGCCAGGCGGCCCGAGGCTCCTGAGGCTTTGCACTTCACAGTGGAGGAGATTGCCATGAGGGATCATGCTGGGCAGATAGAGATTTCCTTTCCAAGTCATTCCATGGCCTTGGCTACCTTTCACCGTTGTGAAGAGCGCTGCTTGCCTATGCTGGCCCCCACATAATCCAGCTCATGACCCCTGATTCCTATAATATTAGCCCAACCCCCCACATTCCCAACTAAAGCAGCTAAGCATGAGAAAGGCTATAGCATCGCCTCCAACAACCTCTACCACTGCGTGTCGCGGCCCACTCGGGCGGAGACCTTGGACAGCTACTTGGCCAGCTCCCCGGAGCCTGGCCTAGCAGGTCCCATAGACTCTTACCTTCAAGGTTTAGGGTTTAGGGGGCTTGTTTTTTCCTTTTCTGTAGGGTTTGGGGGTTAATTGAGGGTCCCTTAAAAGTGGATGATAGGAATCATATCTGCGAGGGTGCATCTATAGGGATGTATAGGAATGAGGGGTTAGTATAAATCCCGATATAGATCACAAGGTCCACCTTTCAGAAGCTGTAGATGTAGATACTGGACAAGAAGTAAGGACGTCCTGAAGCTGCACGTTCAAGGCGATGAGCTTTCTTTCCTCCGGGGTGCTCATGGTTCGTTCTTCAGTGGCAAGGTTTGCCTGCTGCAAATGAATCTTGAGACGCTGGGTTGCTTTTAAGGACCTTAAATTAAGTTACCATATTGGGGCAACCATATTAATTACTACAGTATGTGTACACATATATATATATACACATATGTCTTATGATAACTTAATTTAAGTTCTTCAACAGCAACCCAGGACTATGGTTCTACATGTAGACATGGAAGACCCAGCTCTTTGGCTGGCCGAGGAACTCACTCGCGCTTTCAGGGGAGCTGGCTTTGTGGGAGTCTTGGTAAACTTGTGGGAAGTCAAGCCCGTCAGTCTAGCTGGCATTGCCGCTGGCATCAAGTTCAAGCATCCGGACTCTGTGGCGTGGAAGCCACCTGATCCAAACAAAAAACCTGAGCAGCTTCACCACGAACTGGTTGTGTGGCGCTCCTCCGAGTACTGCCAAGAGAGCTTGGCAGTTCAGGCGGTGAGTAGGATGTGGGGGTTGCACGGGGCTCCTTTATGAATTGATGCCGTGGGGCTTGGGAGTTCAGGGCGCAAGACAAGATGTATTCCCAATATATACCCTATTATAATATGGTAGCTTCCATTTTCTTTTCCATTATCCCTATATAACCCCAATATAATATACCCCTCTATATATATATATATTCTAGACGTAGAGCACGGCACTAACATTGCAAGCTCAGCAAAGCCTGAGCTCATCCGGTCTGTTTGACGGCTGCAAACTCGATGGCAGCCCGCTTGCTTCTTCATTGTGTGCCAAATGGGGAATGCACATTGGGCCAGCATATTGGCTTGATGGGAAGGTGCCTGAAGGCCTTGCTAGTACTCTAGGTGTTTCTATAGCCGCGGTTCTGTTTGATTTTCGATTTTCTTGTCCATGTGATTCTCCATCGTCGGGGGGTAATACTTGGAGGGTCAGGGGGACTTAGTCAGTAGCCCTATACATCATCCCCCGGTATACTGTGGTTTCTATCTTGTTTGCTATTTGGTTCACCATTACTGGGCGGCAAAGCGCAGCCCCAGGACTACCACGCGCTTGGTAAGGGATGCGTGCCACAACCCAATCCTTCACGTGACTTCCGTATTCCTTACATAGCGTCATCGAGAACGCTCATCAACCCCTTAAATCCCAAAGCTCCAATCCAAAGACCCTTAAGCCTGTAATTCTTCCAAACCCTCATGCGTGAACTTTAAATCCCCAAACCCAGCGTGACCGCAACCACAGAACATCGACGTTCCTGCAGCACTACGCGCGTGCTGTAAGTGGTAGTTGCCATAAATGACGGGACCCCAATATAGAACCAAAAATACTATAATCCTTATTCCAAGGACCCCCAACCTAAACCCCCCAAAGTATGTAAAATGATAGCCCTAAACCCATGATAATAGCCATAGGGGCCATTATTCTACATACTTTTGGGCTTCAGGAACAGGGTATCCCCAATTTTTGGGAAGCCCCAAGTCTCTAAACCGCGTTTGCGCCAGGAGCTGCTCAGTCAGCTGAGTCCGCCGTGCTCCGAGTCACCGCTCAGCAGGGTGAACTCTTGGAGAACCCCTGGCCTGGTTAAGGGTTTAGGGATTTGTGGGTTTAAAGGTTTAGTGTTTAGGGTTTCGGGATTAGGGTTTCAAAATTTGGCTCGCATCGTAGGGATTCTAGGATTTACGGCTCAGGCTTCGTTGGATTGTCATAGGGAGATTTCTGCGGCTGGCTTGGGCGGGCGTAGAAAGGATCGGGGACCAAGCGGCTCGCGCGTTGATGTAGCAAACTCTTATTGGGGGCCAAGGGGGGAAAGTCGCATTGAACCCCCCTGAGTATTGCAGAGAAGGTATCTTCTTGCATGTTGCGTCCTGTACCAAAACTCGTGCTGGGTAGGGCAGCAGTCCGACCTTAGTCCCAGACGTTTAAGCTCCAAGCTCTTCAGCACCTCGAACTGAGCAACAATGCCCGCTCTGTCGTAAGACACAGGTGTTTGTATGAAAATGTTTGCTTCTCATCCTACTTCCCTGCTTCTGCTGTGTAGGCTTTTGCACCAACCCTTTCACCCTAAAAGCCCATCTGCATCTTGCTGAGCCCGCCTGTCCAAACGCCACAAAATTTGAAAGGGGACCCCTGCAACCTTGCAAACTTTAAGCAACTTGGTCGACAAGCCAACTTCTGACAGCCAGGCCCATGTTAACGCCCTTCTAGTTCCATCCTCCTCTTAACTTAGAGGCCAGGAAGCCGCTGGGAAGCTCTCTCTCTTACATATGAGCTATAGTCTAAACTCCTTAAAGGGGGGGTTATATAGGGGTTATTAAGGAGGCTACTTGGAGTTTAGACAGTGGCTCACATAGAGCTCTTTGTGGGAGATGTTAAAAGTTGTCCCTCTCCAGAACCGGTAGTCCCCACCGATCCCTTGGCCCCTAAGGCCGCCCAAATTTCAGAATCCCACTGTAATGTATTCCTGTAACCCTACGCATCGCCATAATCCCAGGACTGTAAAGTTAGAAGTAAGGCTCCCTGCCTGTGCTGAAACCCTAAACTCTAGACTCTAAACCCTAAAGCCTGAACCCTACACCCTATATATCCATATAGAACCCCATATATCTCCCATAACTCCTTGGCCTGAAAGTCAGGCTCCTTTCAGAAGATTTGGCGAAACGCCGGCGCGACGCCTCGCAGCTGGAGCTTGCCCTGGGCATGCGGAGCTCAGACCCAGGTGGGCCATGGTTTAGGGTTTAGGGATTAGGGTTTTAGGGTTTAGGTTTTACGGTTTTAGGGTTTAGGATTTTGGGTTTAGCGTTTGGGGTTTCGGGTTTAAGGATTGGGTTGTTGGGTTTAAGTTACTAATATGGCTATATGTAGTGAGTAATACGGATTCCCCATTCGAGGAACTTAGATTAAGTTTTGTCGCAGATGAACTTTCGGGGTAAAACATTTGGGTCAGCTCCGTTTAAAGGGCTTTACACGGATATGTAAGGTTTGGGGTCTGCTTCATGAGACTGCTGGGTTAGGGGACTGGCCTTGACAGAGGCGCTGGGCTCAGCGAGCGGATAGAGAACCTTCCGAACTCCAGAATCTCTCAAAGGGGGTGGAGGGTGTGGGAGTGTTTAGGGTTTATGGCCCCCCTTGAGTATATAGAATATGGGGTATATGGGGATCTTATTATAATAAGCCCCCAGCCATATTCTATCTACCTGAGGGGGACTACAGGAAGATGCGGATTTGACGGCTATGGAGGTTGGACAACAGTTTGGGAGGTTGAGGGCTTGCAGTTCCGGAACCTCGGAGTCCCAGGGCTCATGTTCAGGAGGGCTTGGGATTTGTTAGGTCAACCTCCCCTATAGCAATAGCTCCTTAGTATGGAGATAGTAGGGCTTGAAATATACCTACAACAGTCCCTTGTGGTACCCATACTGGGTAGGGGATTGACGCAATGGCTTTGGCCTTGATCCCTAAAGTATAGCTTGCAGGTCTCGGGTTGAGGGTTTTATCGAAGTGAGAGAAATGGTATCCCTAGCCTGGTCGAGGATAGAGTCTTGGAAAGTTCAGGCTTCTTCGTAAGGTCTTTGAGGATAGCACGGAGGTGTATGTCTAAATTCACTATAGTAGGGGTCCTTACATTTAAGTTCCTATTAAGATAGGGCCTCTATATAAAGATCCCTCATTTTGGAACAGTAATTTTGGCCAACTGTTGGAGACGCCTAGGTGTGACACGGTATGCGCATCTAACTGTTTAGGTTGGCAAGCTTCAAGGAAGCTACCTGAAACCTGTCCATCTAGAGAAGTGTATCCCGAGCCTGAACAACAAGCCTACCCTAAACCCTAAACCCTCGGCTGGAACTATTGGAGCTCATGGCCTGCTTTGGGGGAGAGCTGGCGCTGCTGCATGCGTTCCATCAACTTGTTCTAAGCAGGTCAACGAACATCCGAGGTCGGAAAGTGAAGTCACCTGCAGCTCGTAATATGTCTTCCGTTCCCACACTTTAAACAGCCCCTACCCCTAGGTGCCACTGACGCTATAAGCACAAGCGATCAACAAATCCTGCGCTACCTTTCATACCCGATACCCTTGGAATTGCTATATGGCGGACCTTAGGTGATGCAAGGTTGACACCGCCCAACCCTATCCCCTGCATCCTAGAATCTAAATTGAACCCCAAACTCCAAATCCCCGGAACAGTAAACCCTAAACCCCTGACTCCATGCACCGTAGGCCCCCTATCCTCCTTGTTAAGAGGTCTTGTACCCAGCGGTCTGCCAGCTGGCCAAGGCCGAACGTGCTCATACAACACTAGAGTTTCCAGGTCTAAGGGTACTGTATCGGGATGTCCAAATATTTAGCGGCCCTTTTTTGGGGGAGTCGATAGTAGCCGTGGGAACTGATTAAACTTCATCTGCCATGACACAAGTTTAGAGGACTCATCATGCAGCTTGAACATTTGCTGCTCTGCTTAGGCTTTCCAAAGCATGTAGCGCCAAGTTTTTTCTCTCGCGCAAATAGCTGTGTGCACGAGGACCCCGTTTGGTAGAACTCCCGAGCTGCAGATCCTATTTGTTGATTGTTTTTTGAGGTTAAGTTAGGGTCGACTCCAGTGGTTGACCCAAGTTGCCGACCCCAATTGTGATTGCTTTTTGAGCTCTAGGGTTTCCCCAGCAGCTCATTGCTTTTCATGAGGTAGGGTAATATCCTACAGTCTCCCATCGTTACACATTTATATAACACGATTGCTTCGTAATATGCCTACACTAAAACCCTAAGCCCTCAGCGCTAAGTAGTAGCTTCCATGCTATTTTCCACTATCGCAATAGAACCCCGATATAACCCTAATATTACCCCAATACATCCCCGAGGCATGCTATAATTCACGCGTGGCCCTGTCTCGGACCTCTCTTGTCTTGCGGGGTGCTAGCGGGCTGAAAGGGGAAGTTCCTGGGGAGCGGAGACCACTTCTTTATGTCCGTGTGGTAGTGCCCCTCAGCACCGGGACTCCAATAATTTAGGGCCTGCGACACGGGCCGGCCTGGCCGCCACCCCCCTTGCCCACCCAGCTCTTGTTACATAGGATGTTTTTTTAGGTTTTGAACACCCTGATCTCTCTAGTTTAACTGAAAATCGCCAAAAGTGGGGTCCCATTTTGGCTTGATTGGGAACAGAAGGGGTCAAAAACCCGAGGAAAACCATCAAAGATGACTTCAGACATGG